TCTTAATAGTAAGTACAAGAATGAATTATTAAAACCAACTAGTGCAGTGTGCCGAGTTATGAGTTCAACACGGTTACACAATATTAAGATGTAAGGATTTAAGAGTTAGATTAATAACTTTATCAAGAATACTTATTACGGTATTCCTGATATTTTATTTAACACTTTTTAATTTAACATCAACATAGACAAAGTAAATGATAGTAACAAATATAAGCGGAGCGTATTTACTGGATGCATTTGGTTGTTAATGCTGTTTTGCAACTTTTTCCTATTCGAGATTTTGCGATTCGCACGTGGTTCATATTTCTTCTATTAATTTGCTTATGGTTATAATTGTAAATTGTAATTACGTAGTAACTATAAAATACATATGAAAAAATATAATGTATATGTTACGGGCAAAGTGGAAAATTCGGACACTGTATACAATGCCCGGGCATTATACATAGTACATTACACTAGAGTTGAAACTAAACATCTCAATAATATACTATTACAAAAAAAAAAAAATTATAACGAAACTGAACATTATTATTTAACAACTAAAATAAAATGACAATATATTATTTATATATATAGAAAGTACGTAGTTAAATTTGAATAGTTTGATTCATAACTCATATTATTATCGTATTATAGTGATTTGATATGATATATTGATAACAGCCCATTGAGTAACTCTATGTAATAACCTAACATTATGATAATAGTGAATAAATTACGCGCATGCACAGAATACTTAAGGTGCATTCCTGTATTTATACACTCCTATAATTTTTCCTGTCTTTTGTCAAACAAAATAGTCTAACCAACTTAACAAAATTTGTAAAAAATAAAATAAAATATTAATGATTTTTCGTAATTAAAAATGTATTTATTTCCGTTCGAGAAAGAAAAATATTTTTCTGGTTAATTATTTGTTTTCGTTCTATAAAATTAGTAATTGTGGTTTCATTTATGTTTTCGTTCATACACATTTTTCAATAAAACCGGTTAATAAAAAAAACGGTTTTAACCGGTTTGAAGCCCTGCTTTAAATACTTTTTTCAATAAATATAGTGTGATGTGTAGGGCCGTAGTAATGAGAGGGGAGTGGTGAGAGATGTCTACGCCCCAGGTGTAATTCCTGGGAAGGCGCAAAAATGAAAAATTTGCATTTTATGTTAAGAATTGCAACGGTCAATGTTCTTTATTTTATTTTCAAAAATGTCAACGTCCTTAATATTAACTAATGTAATTGTTGATAAATAATATCTAATAATTATAATATTTTTAAATTAAGAATGTATATGGGTGAATTTTGAAGTTTCGCTTCGGGTTCAATATTTGGTTGCTACGGTATTGGTAATATGTAACACTACTCGTATATATATAATATATACATTACTGTGTGGTTGTAATTCAAACGTACCTCAAAAAAACCCGGGCCGAAACTCGTACTTTATTTAGGAATTGGGTCAAAATTCACTAACACCGATTTGACTATCCAGAACTTATGCTATAGTTTCTAGGACCTGTTAAATATAAATTAGAAAACTTTATTTATGTAAATTGGTACGATGGTCTAATCAGTAGTTTAATGGGAAATAACCGGCCGGCTACTATTTTACAGAATAAGATTATTAGTTATAATAATATACGCTCCTAAGCTATCAAGAACAAGGGATGTGCGCATAAAAGATTAATTAATATTTCTCATAAGTTAATGATCAAATTGAACGATGGCTTAAGCTTCACCCTAAATGCGCTGCAACTTATCTGCGTATACAATAAAAAAATCAAATCTAATATCAACTATGTATGATCAAATCATGTGAATAACTAATCAACTGTCATTGATTTTGTGAATTAGGTATTATTAAAGCCCGCAATTATCCTTGAGGAGGACGCACAACTTGATTACGCGTCGATTTAAAATATTTTTCGTGAGATAAACAAATTTTCTTTAAAAGATGGATAGTAAAATAAGAAATCTAAGGGACTGTAGATTTCAGATAAATTATATAACAATAGTAAAGAATGCAATGTTTTTTTTTTTTTTTAATACATTACAACTGTGCTTCATTAAATTGTAAATTTTTCTTTTCATTGTATAAAAATTCACTATTTGATCAGTGTTTGAACAGAAAGTATATTATGCGTATAGTAACGAAGTAAAAGTTTTAATTATCGGTAAATATGTATCATATTCTGTTTGCTACTATAACATATTTATAGCAAGAATCAGGGGCGTATTTAGACTTACTTCTAGGGGGGGGGGGCGACTTGAATTTTTTCTTTAATTTAGGCTCAAAATATACAAGTAAAATGTTTGGTAATATTTAAATCAGGTGAATCCTTAATATTTGTAGTTTTTTTTTTTTTTTATCTAATGCTGAATCTACTTTGAATCGATTTTTGTGTTGTTTTTTTTAGCACTTGTCTGTGTTTTAAAAGTTACGCTTGTGTTTTATTTGATTTTTCACTAAGTATAGACCCAACAAAAAGTTCAATTCAGTATTCACAGCTGCGTGTAACTTGATTTCATTATAAAATGATCCACATTAAAAAAATTTGAAATGTGTAGCTCACATATAATCGATTCATTAAATATGGATTCAGGGGGGGGGGCGATCGTCCCCTTCGCTCCCCCTAAAATACGCCCCTGGCGAGGATTGGTTTATAGGTTTGGATTGATCCTCCTTCGAGACGAATGCGTATGTATGTAGTATTACGTAGGTATGTTTATAAAATAATAAAAATATTACTATTAACTTTTAAACAGGGCTTTGCACCTGAATTAACCCAAACCCGTAACACCCCTAAAACCCCTTAAAAATTAAACACCCAAAATCCATATAACCCAAATGATTTTTTTTCATTAAAATACCCGAATTAACCAAAACCCGAATAAAATATTGGTTTTAACCCGAAACCTGAATAATTTTTTATTTTTTCTATCTTTATGTGACATATCATTTTGTATGTATTTTTTGTGGTTATTTCAATTTTGTCATTAGTTGTTTGATTGTAAAATTATTATTCACAGGAATAATTTCACAAATAATATATAAAATTGTTAATTAATCTAAATTTATCTAAATAAAGACAATAGCAATATATCATATTAATAGGTTTGCATGAATGGTATGGTATGTTGAATGTTCAAGTGTAAACAACTGGGATACTATTTTTAAAACTATCCCAAGCGGATACATCGTATTACTATAATTTTATAGGTAATAGGTCTTCTATGAATCACCAAGTCGTTATTTATTGCAATACTATAAGTCTGAAATAGAACTGATGTCTGGCGTATGATTACTTAAATTATTGTTCGCATTATTCGTATTTGATCAGTGTATGGCGTGTAGTATACATGTCTATGGCATGACTGTGCGATTATTTTTTCCCTGGAATAATCGATTATTTAAATAATATTCGATTATAATCGAATAATCGAATAATTGTTTATTAATAGAATAATCGATTAATAATCGAATAATTGTTTATTGATAGAATAATCGATTTATAATTGAATAATCATGAATTCATTTAGAATCGAATAATTTTACTATTGAGTTATTTAATAATATTAATAATTAAATAATTATCCTTATTTAAAAGTTTTATTAAATAAAAAAGATATAACTAATAAAATAACATCATCTTGTGTACAAAGAATTACTGTTTACTTTAAAATTCAGTTTTGAGTCTTGACTTAAATCTAAAATTAATATTATACATATTTAAAACGCTGGTTTTGCTATATAATCATAATTCGCGGATAGAAAAATTAGTTGGCTTGCATGTTCATTTGTTACCGACGATTTATGGTCAGTTAATACACAGCCACTTTTACTAAAAATACATCATCGCGGCAGGTCACCTTCATCGACGGTTTCCAGGAAAATAATAACCATTGCTAAAAATAAATGAAAACAAAATCCAAATACACCTTTTAAATGAAGACATTTCATTAAATAACGACAGATTAAAATGGATATACTACATATAGCAAAGATTAAAATAAATCGAAAATAGCCATGTTTTTCATTATAATTTCTTTTAATAATAAACTTTTTTCTTCGATTATTCGATTATTCAATTATTTGATTATTTTCGGATATTTCAATTAATAATCGTTTATTCGATTATTCAATTATTCGATTATTTTCGGATATTTTAATTAATAATCGAATAATCGATATAAATCGATTATTCGATTATTTTAATATTGTTAAAAATAATTGATTAATCGAATAATCGAATAAAAAATTCGATTAATTCAATTAATCGCACAGCCCTAGTCATGAATTGTCAATTTTTGTTGGTGTAATAATTTCATCGTAACATTCATAAGTACAAATTATTATTATTTTTGTATTACGCTATCTCCTAGCTAGTGCGTTTTTAGTGTGTGCACGCACCACAAACCATAAGCAGAAATTTGGTGAAATTTGTGGGGGGGGGGGGGCTGAGCATTATTTGCTTATTACACCTATAGATACCACTGTGCACAATTATTTATTTCAACAAGGCAATTTACGAAGTTCGACAATTTAACATTTTTAATCAAAAATTTAAGCAAAAAAAAACAATTAGGTACCTACCTTATCTTAAACATTTTTGGAGAAATAGGTATTCTAAACAGGAATAATTAATTAATCAGTATTCACTTGTCTCTTGTCTAGAGCGGTCGTATTGTGTAATTGAATTATCAAGTCGCTTAACAGTTTCTTTTCCTCATCATAAATTATTATTTAATATATAATTATTGTATTAATTTTAAAATGTTGTGCAATGTCTGTAATGATGATATTTATGAAGGAGACGATATAAATTGCATGATGTGTAACTTATTCATGCATTTTGGATGTGCTTCTTTGAGGGAAACAACCTTTTGAAAAATGTCTAAAGCTAGTAAACAGAAATGAGTTTGTAATACATGCAAATATATTGAACCGTCTGTCAAAAAAATAGAGCCTAGTACTTCGACAGTATTGGAATATAAAGACATGGAATGTTTAAACAATGAAAACTTCAAAAACCTAATAGAATCAGTTAACTTCATGAGTGAAAAATTTGACAGCTTTGGTAAACAAATACAAGAGTTGATAACATCAGTAAAAAACATGAAGGAAGAAAACCAAATCCTGAGAGAACAAAACACCAAATTAAAAAGTGATATTGTGCTCTTAGATAAACGTATGAATATCTTAGAACAAAAGGTTATTGAAAACTACGTTGAAATCATGGGTGTTCCTGAGGCAAACAATGAAAATTGTGTGAAAATAATCGAGACAATCGCTGAAGCCGTTGGAGTGAAAACAACTGTAATCAAAGCCTTTCGTATCAAATCAAAAATTAATAACAAATCGAGAAAAATAATAGCTGAACTGCAATCAAAGCAAATTAAAAAGGAAATCATGGATAATGCTAAAAAATCAAAATTAACGGGTAAACTTGTGAATAATAATTGGAATAATGATAACATTTACATAAATGATAGTTTAACTCAATACAATAGAAACCTATTTTTTAAAACTAGAGTATATGCTCGTGATTTTGGATATAAATTTGTATGGTTTAAAAATCTAAAACTGTTCATAAAAAAAAAATGAAAATACTAATGCTATATTTATTGATAATGAAAGCTCCTTATTTAAACTCACCTAATCTTTAATTTTAAAATTATTTACTATCTTTATGCGTATTATATATATATATATTTTTCTTTTTTAATATGGATAATTTTTTAAACAATATAAAGGGATATTTAAGCTACAAAACTAACTATTTTGAATCTTTTTCAGAATTTATTAGTGTAAAAAATGATAAAAATAATAATTATGTAAATGTATTATGTTGTAAAATAAGAAGTATTAACTCAAATTTTGATGAGCTAATTTTATTTTTAGAAAATGGTATATACAGTAAAACAATTGATTTAATTGTCTTAACTGAAACTTGGCATGACGCCTCAATCCATTGTAATTATGAAATAGATGGCTATAATTTATTTTTTTCAACTATAAAAAGGAATCAAAACGATGGTATAATGGTTTTTGTGAAACATAATTTTAATGTTAATTTTTTTGAATATGATTGTATCGAGACGAATATTCTAAAACTTTCTTTAGTGAATCTAAGTACACCTATTAATATGTTATGTATATATAGATCACCTTCATCGGATGAAAGAATTTTTTTAAAAACACTGAGTAAAGTTATAGATGAAACAAATAATAAAGATGGTTATACGGTACTTATAGGAGATATGAACATAAATATACTCAGCGATAATGCATACAATAATGAATATTTAGATTTATTATCAAAAACTGGCTTCGCTTCATTCATAAACATTTATACTAGGGTACCTGTAGGTCTTAATCACTCGTGCCTCGATCATATATTTATAAACAGTAATGACCACCTAATTAATTCGATAAATGCCGGCGTTTTACAAACATATATCACTGATCATTACTCAACGTGTGTTTCAATACCAACTAATGTTAATTTTGAAACTGACAAAAATACTTTCACTATTATTCATCATGATAAAATTAAAAACCTTTTAAGTAATGAAAAATGGATATCGGTTTATGACAAAAATAACGTAAATGAGTGTTTTAATGAATTTTATAAAATAATCTCTAATATAATTAATAAATCGACGACTTCTAAAATAATAACTTCAAAAAATAGGCGCCTGAAAGAATGGATGACTCCTAGTTTGCTACGTTCCACACGACATAAGCAGTCCCTCTTTTTAAAATGTAAAAAAAATCCTAATAATTTAAAATTAAATATGCACTATACAAAATACAAAAATACTTACACAACAATACTGAGACTAGCAAAATTACGTTTTTATGAAAAAAAATTCAATAGTATCTCGCATAACTCCAAATTAACTTGGAAACTTATCAATGAAATTACGTGTTCAAAAATAAATAATAAAGAAAAAATTCAAACATTAAAAATTGATGAAAAATTAATTAATGTAAACAAGGATCCAAAAGAGGCATCAAATATTTTCAATAATTTTTTTTTCCAGTATAGGAAAGAAATTAGTCGTCAATCTTAGCAGTGAAAAAATAAATGATATTCAAATTTTAATAAAAATGTTTCTTTTGATAAAGTGTTCCTTAATAAAATCGATAACGCTGAAATGATCAAAATTGTAAATAGTTGTAAAGATGAAACTGTGGCAGGTTACAATAAAGTAACAATAAAAATGTTAAAATATGTAATTGAACATGTAGTTTCTCCTCTAGTATACATATATAACTTAAGCATAGAACAAAATGTATTTCCAGACAAACTAAAATTAGTAGTGATCAAACCTCTTCATAAAGGTGGGGACCCAACAAATATAAATAATTATAGGCCAATATCACTATTAAGTAATTTTTCGAAAATATTTGAAAAAATAATCAAGTCAAGATTAATAGCGTATTTGGAAGGCAATAAACTTTTATCGAAGAACCAATTTGGATTTAGACCTGGTATAGGAACAGAAGAAGCCCTATATAACACTACTAAATTATTATATAACGAATTAGATAAAAGTAATAAAGTTATAGCCGTATTCTTAGACTTGACTAAAGCGTTTGATACTGTAAATCATCAAATTTTATTGGAAATTTTAACAAGTTTTGGTATTAATAACAATAGTTGGAATTGGTTTAGAAGTTATTTATTTAATAGAACACAAATAGTAAAAATAAATGATATCACGGGAAATGAATGTAGTATTGAATACGGTGTGCCCCAAGGAAGTGTTTTGGGACCAATTTTATTTAACTTATACGTAAATTCGATTTGTGAATGTAATTTGGACGGTTTGATTGTTGCATATGCAGATGATACCTGTTAGCTTTTCTCGGACAAATCATGGGAAGGGGCACACTCTAAAGCTACAGTTGGGCTGAATAATGTATATAAATCTTTGAGTTCCAGACAATTAACATTAAATAATGATAAAACAGTATTTATGACTTTCTCTATTTATAAAACTAAAACCAATTTTAATACAATAACAATACATAGCTGCTCTGATAAAAAATTCTGTAATCAAGATAAATGTAAAAGTATAAAAATGGTATCGAAAATTCGCTATTTAGGTAATATTTTTGATAAAAATCTTAGGTGGGATTCACACATACATAATCTAGTAGGTAAGTAACGTTCAATATCTTATAAATTTACTAAACTTAAAAATATAATACCCAAACATACAATGAGAATAATATATTTTGCACTATATCAGTCGATATACCAATATGGGCTACTAGTATGGGGAGGTCTAGCTAAAAATATTTTAAACACACTTCAAATGAACCAAAATAATATAGTTCGAATCTGTCTAAATAAATGTACCCTGGAAGGATCAACAAAAAACAATTACCGAGTTTTGGGTGTATTGCCAATAAAATACTTATACAAAAAATTAGCTTTTATGTTTGTGTTTAAACGTAATATTAAAGATATAAGCAATTCTTTTTTCAAAAATAAAAGAACAAACCGAGTTTATGATATTCGTGTTAAATATGCTTTTAAATCCTGTGGTCAATCGTTCGTCGACTATTTAGGACCTACATATTTCAATTCTATGCCATTTGAGTTTAAACAAAAAATACATTGTAACCATGCTAATGTCAAAAATATTATTTATAAATATCTATTTTTAGAATTAGAATAATTTATTAGTCAATTCCTTGTAAATTTAAATTTATATTTTCTTTTTTTTATCTTTTTCTGTATATCAATATAATTATGTATAACTTTGAATATTCATTTGTTATCTGTTATTTTATTTTATTTATGTATACTTGATAAAATTGTTTTTTCACTGTCTAAATTTAATTTAAATACTCTCTATCTCTAACACAAGCATCGCTTATAAGAGATAGATAATCATTGTAATTCTGTATGTAAAAATTTGTAATGTGTACTTATATTATGAATCAATAAAAAAAAAAAAAAAATTAAATTAAACAACCTATACGGATTATTACATATTATTAATATTACATTAATTACGATCGTTCCAAGTCATGACAAGAAGTTTGTAAAATCTTACAAATTTGATTCAATTTTTATCATAATATTTTTTTTTTAATTCAGTTATTAAAAATGCATTTTACAATTAAAATAATTATTATATTTTTAGTCACTTAACAATTTTCAAGGCTAGGGGGCTAAGACCTGTACTTTATATTTCTGGGGGGCTTAGTTCCCACAAGCCACCCCCCCCTCCGATTCTGTCTATGCCACAAATACAAACGCAGAATACAAAATAGTTTGTTTGTCGCATGCGATATGCCCATATTAACTAGGAGTAGGACATAGTGTTAGTATTTTTAATTTTATTAGATATTATAATTCATAAGCTTCATACACATATAAAATAACCCCCTCTTCCCCGAAAATAAATCGTGGTTACACCATTGCTTGAAATTAACATAATAATAGTTTGGTCTAAAAAACTGTTACAGTTGTACAGTTGTTATAAGAAATTTATATTTTATTACATAGGCAGGTAACAAAAAATATAAATATTTCATTAGTGGAGGGGGGACTCAGCCACTCCACCACCCACTACCAATGAAAAATAATATTTTTTCTTGACTACTTAACACCCGTATTAACCTATATTAACCAATATTAACCCGAATAATAACGGTTATTAACACCCAAATGTTTGTTTAAATGTTGTATTGCGGTGTTTGAACACCCGAATATATTCAACACCCGAAACCCGAAACCCGAAAAAATTATTCGGATGCAAAGCCTTGCTTTTTAAGTTATACTACGGTTGAATACAATTTTATCCATCTACTGTCTGCCATTCATGCAATGTTCCATATGCAGGGTTGTGCCTAGGGGGGTGAGAGGTGCATGTGCACCGGGTGCCATGAACACTGGGGCGCCAAAAGTTTTTCATAATTTAAGTAATATCACTGAAAGTTAACCATATTATTTAATTCAAAATATTTAACACGTTTAACGCCATGGTCTTGATGCGTAGTCAATATTAACATTTTCTTGATCGGCTTTGTTGCTAGTTTATTTTTAGTATTGGTATTTATTTTTGCCCCAAAATTGGTGAGCTGACAAATTAACAATAATATACCATTTATATTCTATTATTATTGTTACTTGATGTAATTAATTTAATAACATTAATAACATAAAAGAACATTGACTTGATCGACTTGTAAGATTTTATTTTGAATCCGTCTATGATAGTGTTCACATCATAGTTCATTAACGCAGAAGTTCCAAAGGTACCTAATTATTTTTCATTGGTAATTATTTAAAAACGTAAGCTATGTTTGTGCAATCGAATGCATTTAATTTTTAAATAAATTATACAGGTTTAGAATGATAAATTCTTATCTACATGTTTTGTTATACAAATAAAGTTATTTTTTATAGTTTTTATTTTTTTTATTTATAGAGCTTTTAGAAATACTATTAAGCTCGACAATTATAATAAAATACATCGATTAATTAATCAAAGTATAATAGATAAAACATATGATATAAAAATATTAAAATAATAAAAGATTATATACAGAAATCAGCCTCGTGAGTGAAGGAAATAATTAGAATGAGAGTTAATTTTGAAATTTAGAATGCTGAAAGTATTGAATGGGTTATTGCGAGACTAATTAGGATATTGCGTTTTGGTAGGAAGGGAAGGGCAGTCAAATAGAATATAAGATAGAATATAGATTTTTTTTTTTTAAATAGAGTATGCAGAGAAGGACCCAAAATGAATGACAAAATGAATGGCGTAAATTAATGATAAGGGACCCATGTAAAAATTCCAGAGTTTTATTATTATATTAAAACAAATAATATAATACCTGTATGTGTATATTACAGATAACAGTAGGAATATTGAAAGGGATAAAGGTAATATTAGAAGATATCTTGGGTTCCACCAAAACCGAGGGTCCCTGTGAATTTTACATCCAATAATCCCGATAATTGCACCACTGGAAGGGAATCATTAAGATTTAATTTTCAAGAAGGTAAGAGATGATGGCCAGTGCGTAATCGGTTAAATTTGATTATGAGGGATCTGGATAAAGTATGATCGTTGAACCATACTTTGCCTGGTATAATGGGAATTATAGATTTAAATCTAGAGGCGAAATTTGCGGGTAACTTGTTCAAGTAGGTAGACAAGGGTGATAAAGCATGGCGTCAAAGAATCAGTTTGAGTTATATTACTTATACCATTGATTTTATAATATCAAAACATTATGATTTAATTGAAGGATTTGAATATTTTGGACATCTTAGTAGATTAAGTAATTTAGCAAATACTTGTGTTCATGGCAAGGGGTATATTTTCACCTTGGAAAATATCAATAACATACTATTTAGTTCGTTCAAGTGTCAAACATGGCATGCTAAAAGATTTAATACTATATGTACTTCAGACATTTTTAGAAGCTGGGTTATATCCTAAAATAATTTTTTGTGACCAAGGTACTAATAATCAAAGTGCACTGAGGGCATTAAACGTTACTGAGAATAATTCATATTTTTTTATAAACGATAAAAAAATATATACTATATTTGAGGTTCCACATCTTTTAAAAAGTACAATGAATAATTTAATTGGGTCCATATTTAAAAAAGGAGAAAAAACAATTTGTTACTCAGATATTAAGAATACCTACATACTATATTGACAAAAATAACAAAAGAAACAGAGTTTTATTAAAAGTTTCGGATACGCACATAAATTCAAATTCGTTTAAAAAAATGAGGGTAAAATTTGCTGTTCAAGTATTTAGTAAAAAATTACTAAATTACTTAGTGTTAATAACACTATGGCTTCAACAATTCGCACTTGTGTCTCTACAAACGAATTAATTGGCGAAACAATTTTAGATACACCAGACTTTGTAGATTTTATGAACAGGCTTTCCGATTGTTTGAAAAGCAGATCTTTATAAAGTAAAAATATTTATAACTGTGCTTTGACTGATATAAATTGTGTAATAAATTTTTTAAATAATGCGTCCTCTTATTTGGTTGATATGTACAAGTCATGTCAAAAAAAAAAAAAATCACTCGACCTCTGTGTTTTAATGGGTTTATTTAAACCATAAATGGTTTACTACAGTTTTTTGAAGATGAAAAAAACATAACATCAGCTTCTTATTGACAAATCGCTTAAATCAAAATGTACTTAAAAATGTATTTTCAATTTTTCAACAGAAGGGAGGTTACAATAGAAATCCTATATCAAGAGTTATATGAACATCATTTAAAAGCACTTATTCATTAGTTTGTACTTCAAAGGGTACAAATTGTGAACAAAATATTGATAAAGAAGCAGATTATACATTACACATAAATAACTAACAATCTAGCATTACGTATTCAGATAACAACGTAGACTTAAGTGATATAGAATCTTTATTATTGTCATCATCAAATTATTCATATAATAATTTAAATAAAGATAAAGAAAAGGAGGAAGCATACCTGCAAAGCAAGACCCACCCACCTACCCACAGTAGGTTGAGCAACGACCCTCAATTTTTTTTCTATAATTTTAATAACTTCGAGCAATAATAAGTAAATTTAATGATTAGTGTTTAAATTTATCATAATGTTAGGTATGATGATGCATAAAATAATTTATAACTCATAAATTAAAATAATGTTAACTGGTGTTTCGCATGCTTACACCCACCCCTAACAGGTATTGATACTGCAATACTTGGATACAGGTATCGGCGCCAATAGAAGGAAGTAACACTGGAGGGCTGCATTTTTGTTTATTTTGCTGAGTATTTACAGAGGTGGAACTAGGAATTTTTACGCCCAGGGAAAATGTTAAAATTACGCCCTATCATAGACCAATAATGAATTACTCTTCTCGAGAATTTTTTTCTAATAATTAATATACAATCATACTTATTGAGTTTTAATCTAATATCAGTATTTAAAAAAGTTAAAAATATCAAATAAGTCGTTAATAATTACAAAAATTATACCCACTAAAATTTTACGGCCACCTCTGGCTGTTTAGCTCATATTTGCTTAAATAATTTTAATTTTAATAGTTGTAAATTACAGTTAATCACCGACACGGTGATCGAATAAAGATCAATTATTTATAATTAATAACAATTTTGAACATTTTGAAAATATTAAAACAAATGATCTTAAATCTCAATTAAAAAAATTGTGGAACTTTATTTGTGCAATTGGTATATTTATAGATAAATTTGGCTAAATTCAACATAAAAAAAATATTAAATTAATTTTTTTGACATGGTGTAAACGTTGTAATCTAATAAAACATTGGCTTAATAAAAATGAAGAATGCGCAGACCATAAATTCTTCATTTTAGACAAATTATTGACTTATAAAGTATATAAGAAATGCAAAGATCATTCAATAACAACAAGACAGTCGAAATTAACAAAGTTAAAAATTTCTCATGTTTGCTATCCCAAATAAATTTTAAAATCCCTTCTTATGCAACTCGTTCCAAAAAAACCTTCCATATTCCTAGCGCCAATATAAATAATTTACAAAATGAACCTCTAAGACGTACAGGTATGATATCACACGCATCACACACATGAGATCCCTCATTTGATAATAATTTGGTTCAATGTTTTTTTTTTTTTCATATATTATTGTTAAAATGTACTGTTTAAACTGTTATATAATTAATTTAACTGTAATTTAATATTCTGTTTAACATTTTTACCTCTATTACTATATTACGTACAAAGGTGGGCAAGTTAATGAAAATAATTAACTCGAGTTAAGAGAACACAAGATCAATAAGTTAAAAGTTAACAGTTAACAATTCATAAATTTAACTCGATAAGTTACAAGTTAATAAGAAAAAAAATATTAACTTAACTCAGTTCAAAAAAAGTTAATCTATTTTTTTAATTAGTAAGCAGATCACATAAAAAGTGACTGCGTTCTTTAGAAAGATTTATTTCCTAAATTATAATAAACAATTCTATTGAATTTTTTATCATAATATACAGCAGTGGTCCTGAAGTGTTTAAAAAATACTATGACATTGTACGATGTACAACAAGGGGCCACTAACTACCATATTTAATTATCTTTCTAGTTAAAATTCTTTATACATAACATTCTGTATCCAGAACCCAATACCCAAAGGTGGACCTCCAACCTACAAAATCTTATATGACATCTGATTTACAGTGTATGCAACTATTTTACTTTACATGATTATTTAATTTTTGTATTAATATTTACGTATAAACGAAAAACTTAAAAAATTTTTAACTTGATAGATCCTTTTTAAATCAACTGTAAAAAGCTAAGTTATTTCAACTACTAATTAATCTAGTTAAGTTAAAAAGTTAAAAAAAAATTAACTTTTTAACTTAACTTTAGCTTTTTAACTAGTTAATGCCCACCTTTGATTACGTATAACATTTAGAAGTTATTTTATATCATACTATTATTCTAATTGTTATATTGTTACTTTAATGATAAAGGGGAAATCCGTTTATTTGTATAAAATAAAACAAATAAAGTATGACTATTTTCCGTTTAATCGACGATCGGTCGGTATCTGCTTAATATCTACTTTATATTTGCTAACACAATAGCAATTAAAATTAAATTATAAATAATTATTGTTTTAAATTATTTTATATTATTATTATTATTATTATTAACTATTGTTTTGAAACATCTAAAAATACATCCTTAGTGTCACTCAACATTATAAATCTAGATACATGGCAGAAAAATGGACCAACGATCTCCTCTCAAATAAATTAAGAAATATCAAGCCTTTCATCAAAAAAATGGAATTCTCTCTGTAACTTAAAGAGAAGAGACGAGGTAATTATAACCCGAGCCAGAATAGGTCACACTCACCTCACCCTCTCCTTTTTAATAACTAAGGAACCTGCTCCACTATGCGACAAAAGCAACGAAAACCTATCGAACGACCCCATTATCACCGGATGCCAAAATACGTCGATGCACTGAAAATATTCAAAAACTCAACATCCCTCCGACTTGTTCTCAATGAAGAAAACACAGAAGCAATTCACAAGTATTTCCATTACACATACTCAGTGCCGGATCACCCATTAGGTAGAGTAGGCTCCCGCCTTAGGGCCTTACTCGTTTAAGGGGCCCTGTGAAAACGGAAAACAATATTTATTTTTATTTTATAATACCTGTATTTTATTTACGAATTTATGGGACAAAATTATTTATGAAATATAATATATATTAAGTTGTAGGGGTTATATGCAGTAATAATAATAAAATAATTTTGAAAAAAATAGAAATAATATAATAATTAATTTTTCTTGCAAATAAAAAATTTATTAAACATGATTTTATTTATTAATAATAGTTGATTATTATTAAAACTGTTTATTTTAATTATTGGATAGTAATGTTAAAAATGTAAAAAAATGACTTTGTTTTTGGCCCAAAATTTTAATTGCCTAGGGGCCCACAAATGTTTAATCCGGCACTTCACACTCTTTTACCATAAATTGTAAATTGTAAATGTAATATATAAATAAATAAATTGTACTTATTTCTGTTCACGTTGTTACAAATGTAGGCTAATAACCATAAGATGTTGAAACCTTTATCTCAAATAAAAAAATAAAAATAAATTGTTCCCCGAGATTAAAACGATAAAACGATTAAATCGATTTTTAACGTAATTATCTCTTAAGACCGTTATAGTCCGTGATATAATTAACAAATTAAGTCTAAAAGAAAAAAAATGTATTTCCTAACGCTCAAATGTACCTTTTAATTTATTAGCCGGCCACATTGAGTAATTACTCTATGACCGGCTCGCATGTTTATATCCAACATGAATCATACTCTCGTTAGATACAAAAATTGGTACAACACTTTTGTGCATTAAATACGGATATTGTTAGTTTACAGCCATCTGAATTCGAGAATTCAATACAAAATAGTATTATCGTTTAACAAATCAGTCTTGAACAATAAAATAATTATTTTTCGTGATCACAATCCAAATGATGTATGCGTAAATATACGATTTTGATAAGTTATTAGTTACTTAACTAACTACTGTGTAGCAATTACATATAGTCAATGAAGAAATTATTTTTCGGTTCAACAATATTAGGTATATCTATTATATTGTTCAGTGATCTGCATTAACAATTAGTTTCATCATTTTTGTGTGATGTTTTGCATCTTATAAACTATTATTTTCACCAACGATCATCAATCGCAATCGTACAAAATACTGTCAAGTACAGATTACAGTTGAAAGATATTATTTAATTTATTTCATTTTTTCCTAATTAAAATTATATATATCTTAATTGTTTTAATGATAACTTCTACTAAGGCCTATAGTTGTGCATGATGTTGTTTTAAAACTAGATATTTTACTGCACGTATTAAGTAATTTTATTAGACCAGTTATTCTACGATTTGTTTAATTTATTCAATAGTAATGTTTTGCCTTCAGAGGCGTTTTATATTTATCCATCTACTGTTTACTGATATTACAGAGAATGTAGTTTATAAATAATTATATTATAGTTAACAAATAATATTTATTTGTGAGACTATAATTATATAAATAAATTAATTATAAGTAACTAGTAATTATTCTTAAACCAACATTTTTGTCCCTCAAATTTTGGTCTTATCTATCCCCTAAATTGTTGGCTAATAAATAATAATTATATAATTATAACTATAACTATGGATTCCCTGTAATATAATTTATGTTACTTATAAAAAAAATTTTATTTTCAGAAATATTTGTTTTTCCATTCAATAACAATTATGGAAACTAGATGTAAACCGGTTGTAAGTATTCAATGTTGTATAATTTAAAATATTTTAAGTTCGATGTAATTAATAAAAATATTAATCTTATATATGACAATTATTGAATCTTATTAAAAATGTGTATTGTATGTTTATAAATGTATGTCTAAGTTTATAAAATACAATTTATTGTATTGTTGTATATATTTTTCTTAAGATTTGTTTCATTTTATTAAATTAATTTTATTTTTAGAAAATAAATAGAATCATTATTTTTAACGTTTTTTACTTTAGCAAATATTTAATACGGTACAATCAATTGTCCACCATATAAATATTAACAATTTTGATAAAATGGCACAAAAAAATTGTTTCCATACCAAAGAAAACAATCTATATATTTGAAAACATTGTGGATATAATTTATTTTCGGGTAAGTAAATATTATTAATAATTATAATAGTTATTACATTTTTTTTGTTTTACTTATCTAGGCTTTAAATAGACCAAATTTCGCAGTTTTATACGCACAGTTATGTGCATACATGGTCAATGTGTCTACATTTAATACACTTCACAATTCTAAAACTACTTTTCAGAAAGTTTTAGCACAAAAAAGCTTTGATGACTTTACGTCATACTATTCTCGTACTCCTCAGAAAGAAGTACATACATTAAAAGAAAATTTTATGAACAGTAATATGGTAACTAGTTATATTTTGTTAACATAATAATAGTATTTTTTTATTTATACTAGATTTTTTAATATAATCTATAATCATTAAAAAAAATTAGTCTTAAATCACTTCAAGCTTAAGAAGAATCTCAGTATTGATACTTGCATGGTTAGGTTTTTATTTATAAATAAACTGATTTGTATCATTTTAAATTATGATTTATTCATACATAATACTATTTACGCAAATATATATTATATACCTAATTAACAATAATAGCTAATAAGTAAACTGACTTGGGTAGGATTACTCAAATAAACTACTCAAACTTAACCATTCTAATTTTCCATTGATTAAAACCATATAATACTCAAATACATTTTCTACCAATTGATTATATATATATTTTTTTATTTGATTATCAAATAATATAAATATTTGATATCTGTTATAGACACCATCTAATTTCAAGAGTAGATTGAATATTTTTCATTTCCAATATTATAATAGAACTTTAACCCATTGCAAGTATGTTTTCAAGTAAAATTAATTAATTATTTGTATATCTTGTATGAAATAATATTTTTATAGATTTATTAGTGAATTATTCAAACAAGGGGCTTTTACTGAAAAAAATATATTGGCGTTCATTAACGAATTAATAAAAGTAAAAGATGTTCTGAATATTCATTATTTATGTATAGTATTACAAATAGCAGGACCAAAATGATCAAAAGTAATAACCAAAATAGTAAAGTATTAGGAAATTATAGAAAAAATAATCTTTTATTTAATTTTTTTAGACTCATAATTTGGACAGTATAGTATATTGTATTTCATTATTTAAAATTAAAAATTCTGCTCTCATAAAAATTTCACAAACTCTAAAGTCTCTGATATTCAAAATACAAGACTTGAATTTAAAAGAATGGATAAATGAAGGTAATAATGTCAATTTTCAAATTATACTGTATAAATACAATTTTTCATTAGAAAAAAAGTACTATTAAGTTATTATAATATGCATTTATTTTAACGAATTGTTTTAAGATTTAGTAATGTTTTTATAATATGTCATGCATAATTATAATTTTTTTTTATTATAATATATTCACAATTGATATTTTAAAATTTTAAATTATGCCATATATGTTTAGCAGTTATTCAAAGTTGTAACATGACTTTCATATTGTATGATAGAAAGTAGGATAAAATTAGATTATTTTGTAATTTTGTATTAGTTTAAACTTTTATGAAGAAATAAATAATTGCTTTTAAAAATTGTTTAAAATAATGATCGGTTCTCAATAATCTAACCTTTAAGTCTTCATAATGAAGACATCAAAATATTATTTTTATTAAATAAAATTAATAAATAATTTACAAAATACATGATATTTTCTGAACAGTTTTAATATAATTTAATACATTTTTAATTAAATCTAAATAACATAATTTATGAACTATTTAAATCATTTTAATTTTTTATGATTATATATATATATATATATATATATATATATATTTTACAGAACCTGTTAAGTTAATCGAGGGCAATAAAAAACATAGTTCCTTTGAAAAATTACCAGAGCAATTTAAAAAACCATATGAATTTAAATCATATACTGTAATGGCTCAGTGTATTATTGATGAATGTATTGTTGTTCTTAACAATTTTGACATGAAGAAAAGTATCAATGTATGTAGTAGGTTAACTTATTTTATAATCAGTATTTTAAGTATAAAAAATAATAAGATGAAAAAAAAATTTTGATTATTGTAATAATTGTATGAAAACAATTTTTTTTTGTAGGTTATCTTTCTATAAATATAAATCGATGGTAATAAAAAAAATTGACATTGGTTTTTGCAAAATCAATGCCAGGTATTTCTTTAAAAGATTTCATTTTTTTTTGCCTATGTATGTACTATTAGATTATTGTTATAAAGAGAAACAATAAATAATTATTCGACTTTTTTTATTACTCACCAAACAAATCTACTGAAATCTTCTAGATATCGATCATCAGAAACTTAAAATTTCAAATGTAGCTCATTTGTATGAAAATTTTGGTGACTCCTGATAATAGCAATAATTTATATAATTAAATTACTTCCGTGGATTATCTATTTCGTACTAATATTAAAAATTTTTTTGATATAATTATCTATATAATTATGTAACCATCACAGTTCATAATATTCTATATAATATACCAATAACTTTTTGATTACAGCCTGTTGATTTATTTAATAATATTTACAGAAAATTATACATATGATAAATAATGTCAACTCATGGATAAAATATGATCAAATATCATTCGTTGTTTCTATGATACATATAACACTAAAAGAAAATCAAAGTATTCGCCATAAGGCTGGTATACTTTTAGACAAATTTGTTACAGAAGGCTTGTTATTAAGTGAATCGGTTTTATCGGGATAAATACAATAATTTAAATTATCTGTATTCTACATTTTATTATTTATTATTTTATTTTTGTTTCATATTTTAGAATTGACAAAGTAATGGATGACTCAGAAATTAAGTTAGAATTTCCAAGATTATCAGATTTATTATTTGACATCACTAGTAGGCTTACATATCTTGTTATGAATTCAGCTTAATACTGTTTAACTTGATTTATTGTGTTTTGTATTCTATATTCTAATTTCTTTTTACTTGAATTATTTTTTCAAATAGAGTCTTTTGGCTAAGATTAATTTTTAAATTATTATACAATTTTTGTTGGTCTAAATGTGAAATAAATTATTATTATTGATAAGGCATGTCTTAATCATAACTGATTTTTAATTTTGATTTTCTTAAATACTTTTGGTAGAATGATCAAAAATGTTCAAGTGCTACTATAAATAACTAATTTAATATAAAACCCCATATTCTTAAATATTCTCCTTACAGCTTAAGCTTAGCTATAATTATACGTTTAAAAATATTTTGAGATTTTGAGATTCGTTAACGTTTGCAATCAGGGCCGTTCCGAAGATAAAAATCAAAAGGGGAGGGGGTGAATAATATGAAAAATGCCGACTACAATTTTTTTACTCAATGTATGTAGTATAATTAACTATATGTAGTCGTATTTTTACTTTTTAACATGTATTTATGTGTCAGTGTCGCACGTTCTTAAAATTGACAATTTAATTATATATACATAATAATATTTTATATTGTATAATAAGTAGTTATATAAATTTTATTCGTGTATACACTGTATTATGAAATATGTAATATTTGTTTTCTATAAGTAAAATTAGGTTCTTCTAGGTTATAACGAAACAAGTCCGACTGTTGACTTCGTTGGGGGGGGGTAAGACACCCCCCAAGATCCCCCTTCGGGAAGGCCCTGTTTGCAATGTATAAAAGTGCATTTGTATATACTGTAATTAGATCGGGTGCACCGCTATAATTTATTTGATCGAATACAGTGTCCCATCGGCTATCAGTAAAAAAATATGTTAGTGCCAGTGGCGCATTTAAGGGGGGCGAAAGGGGCAAATGCCCCAAGCGCAAAATTTTTGTGGGTGGCAAAATATTCTAACTTTTATTGATGTGTTCACGATTTTTTTAATTTTCACACCTTTTTCGGTATTGTAAAATATTTAAAAAAATATTGTTGAGCATCTAATAAGAAATTAAAAAAAAGTATACTAGTTACCAAGGTATTACTGAAATAGCAAAATAAGTATATTACATTAATTATTCGATAAGATATAATATTTTCGTTCAATATTTATAATAAAGACTCGGGTATACAGAACGCAGTATTCACTTTAGGGCACATTTAAAAAGTTTACAAAAGGAGTAAAATTGAACCTATAAATGTTCAATGTATGTTAGTATTTATAAAAGATAATTGTTTAGTTGAAGTATATCCTTATATTTATATTGCTTTAAGGATGCTACTATGTATACCTTCAAGTGTGAATGTAACCTTCAAGTAATTGTTTAACGGAAAAATAATTTTCTACATTAAAAAGAGTCAAAACTTATTTAAGATCAACAACGGGAGAAAATCGTCTTATTTCATTAGCAATCCTCAACATCGAAGCCGATTTAACAAAAACTATTAATTTTAATATTATTGAAACTCTTGCTTCTCAAAAGTTAAGAAAAAAATTATAAGCTATCGATTATTTTATCGCAGTTAACAAGCTGTTTCCCGACGAAATTATTGGTACACAAGTTATGTCCCGACAAAAATTTATATTTTAATATGTTTTACTATTTTTATTATACTTTATTATCGTGTAGAGGTTAAGGTGTACATTAGGGTGGTTCACGATTAAATGTAAAAAAAAAAAAAGTTGACTTATAATCCGAGCCACTCTCTTATTTTTTTAGGCTTATCTATAGTATAGTTTTCCGATAGTGTTGACTTTCTATTTTCTTTAGAAGTCAGTGCTCAAGCACTTGTAAAAATGAACTTTTTTTTTGGATTTCATGTTTCTTATATAACATAAAAAAAATATGTATTTATTATTTTTTATTTAATTATTACAATTAAGGTTAGATTAAATATATATTAATAAATAATATAATAAAATAATATATTAAGGTTAAATTTAAATATTGATAATTAGTTATGAACTTTCACTAGAAAATACAGCTTCAATGGCCATTTTCTTTGTAGTTTCAGTTGGAACTGTTTTTCTATTTGCCTCAATAACCTGTAACAAAAATTGCTTTTCCTCTTCATCATAAGTTAATAGCTTATTATACTCCTCAAAAAGTTTAACACCACGCTCAGCAGTATCGTTAACGACTCGTAATTGTTTGATGCGATCTCTTCCTTGCTGATATTCTTCGTTTTGAGGCCATTCTTCAGGCGGTAAATTTAAAAATGAATCCTTTATTTCCAAAATAGTTAAAAGTTTTAAACTTCTTTTAGTTGCAAACATTCCTAAATTTACATTATTTTTAAGGAGGGATGTATTTCCTCTGATTTGTCTTTTGTCAGTTTCTTTTTCCATTCCTATACCAATTTCTGATTTTTCAATTGATGTGACTTCTGTGGAAAATAAAGCAAGCCCAACAAGCTCGTCCGAAAGATACCATAAGTGACGTTCTAATACCATTCTAGCTGCAATGCTAATTTCAGAATCGATAGCTTCATACTTTTTTAAATTTAGCCAAAAATTCAGATCGTTTCTAGGTGCTTCAGCTGCAAGAGGGGCTTCAATCCATACTTTAGTATATAGTAGTGCTCCGAAAAGCACGAACCGTTGTAGTTGAGTTTCTTCCCGCTTAGTAAGATTAAATATACTATTTTGCTTGCGAAATAAAAATATTTTTATCGCATAAATCAGTTTTGACATCCACCGTGCATGGTGGATTGGACCTGGAGCTCGCCAGTGAATTTTTGATGGTGGTTTATTCAAAACAATTAGGACCAACTCGCAAAGTTCTAGATAATCATCTCGAGGTGATTTATTTTCTGTTAAAAAATACTTGAGAGTTGATAGAGTAGTTCCAACGAATGTTTCTGTTTCTTCTTTTAAATTTAGTCCTAAATACTTATCTTTGGAAATATCTCTCCATATTGTTTTGAAACTTTTAAACATCGGAATATCTGGGGAGTTTGATGCACCAAAACACAAACAAAATATTTTTGCCAAAATTATTTCCATAGTATGGTGACGGCAAGCTAACCATAGCATATCATGACCAATCTTTTGTTCCAATAGAGTACAAGCCCCTTTAAATTTTCCTGTATTTACAGATGTTGTATCAAAACCTAGAGCCTTGACATTATCTAAAACATTCCATTCAAACAAAAGATCATATACTGCATCCGCCACATTTTGTCCAGTCCCAGCTTCTAACTTTGGAACACCAAGAAGTTTTTCTTCACCATCTCCCGACACCAACACAGGAAGTCTCTCTACTTTTCCATGTCCGACCACAAATGGCAATATTTTTCCATCCCAATGTACTACTAAAGGATATTTTGGCGTAAATGTGTTTTTTGTATTAATAGCATGCTCTTTTCGGGCTTCTTTTCGCCTTCGTTGTATAGTACTTCGTGATATAGAAAGAGAAGATGGATTATGTCCAAGTGCGACAGTCAATGGAACCATTAATCGTAACGCCTGCCGATCAGAGATTTTATTTCGATCTAAGGCTCCCGTCACATGAGAATTAAATAAATTCGTCTTTATATTTTTCGTAATAATTTCTTCTTTATTTTCTAATTTTGCCTTTTGTTTTACATGAAATGGTTCAAATTCCACATCATTATCAGAACAAGATAAATCTTCATCGGTTTCATCTTCTGTATATTTAATTTGTCTTACCAATGATGTTGAAGCAGTGGCTTCAACTGCCTTTTGGCGGCGTTTTTCCTCTTCAATTTTTCTTTGAAGAGCACGTTGTTGCTTGTTTTCGAGTTTTTTGTCAATCGAAGTCATAAACATTTTTCAATCATGCCTTTGATCATAAAGAAAATCAAGATCAGTTTGATTCCTCATCTGAGCTAATGCATTAGCATGACTTATATCAAAAATATTATTTAGTTCATTTACGAAAATTTGCTCACGATTTTTCTGAGATTTAGACGATCGCCCCTTGTTTTTTTTCAACAGCAACCACTTAGAATGAACTTTTTCAATCATATCTACAATGTGTTTTACTAACCTCATGGGTATAGCAGCTTTAGACCATACTAAAATTAGTTCTTCGACTGTCAGGTGACTTGAATTACGTATAGACTTATTTGCATGCAAAAAATAATGAAACCGTTGTAAAACTTGTCTTATTGTTGGAAGTTGATTGAGTCTAGAAATTGACTCAGAATTCCTAATACCTATGAGATAAATCTCATCATTTCTGCGTGTTAACATTATAATACTTCGTTGGACAATGTTTATACAATTATTATTATATTTATTAAAACGATAGTACTTACGGAGAAAATAACTGCAGGTTTTTTAGTATGGCGTGTAATATTATATGAAATTACTGACTGGTCTTGTCGGTGTAAATAAAGCGAATAAAAGAAAATACTGTATATAAATTATTTATCTTGGATTATTAAAAATAAGATAATAGTTAATATAGCAGAAATTAACGACCGCAGAACACTGGCATCACGATAACGGATTAAATATTCTCGTGTTTTTCAATTATAAATAGACACTGATTATGTGGTAAGTGAATAGCAGATATAATATTTATTTTTATTAGATGGGATATTGACAAGCAAATATAAAACACAATAAACGTATTCTTTATGACTAATAAAGATATTTTTAGTTTCAAGTCGTTAGTTTATAAAATCAAATAAAAGAAATTTTATAATCGAAAGTTAATTAAAGGGTGCTTGAGCACCATCTTCTAATTATAAAAAGAAGCTGAAATTTTAGCATGACAATACTATAGTTAGGTCTAAAAAAATTGAGGGGAGCCCGGGTCATAAATGAAAAAAAAAATTTTTTGAACCACCCTAGTGTACATATATTACTTATTATTGTAGATTTTTAAATAGCAGTCCATTTTGCAATCGCCAATCTGTGGTCATCAATAGAAATTAAAGGTTGTTACTTCCATTTTGATCAAAGTTGGTGGCAAAAAATTCAAGAAATCGGCTTATCAGCAAAATATAAGGATTAATTTTCGGAAATAAGCAAATTTTTGAAGTACATTTTTGGTTTGCCATTTATTGATCCAGATGAAATAAAAAAATGCATTTGTGTTTAATTTGATGTCATGTAATGTTTAAAATAATTCCGAAATTCTTAAATTTACAACTAATTTAATGGATAACTATGCCATGGATTATGCTGTATTTTATTCTTGTGAAAAATGTTATCTACGTATTATATGTGTAATATTGTAATTGGAAATTTTATCACTTTGTGTATACAACTTTTGTAGATGTTGCTGTACATTTCATTTTTTGGGACATAATTCGTGTAATCAAAAAAATCTATTAGATACAACTACGTATTTGGGACACAACTCGTTTGCGACCTATTTTATTATGTAGGTATAATTAATAATTAGTATAATATATTTAATCTAATAAAAATCATGTATAAGAATTGTGCATATAATAAGTGTTGATTCCGTTTTCTATATTTAATATATATATAATTTTTTTTTTAAGAAAGGAATATTCAGTTTGAATAAAAAAGAATAGGTTAATGTTAGGATATGTTACTATAAAATTATCTAATACAATATCGCAAAACAACTGATTTATAATATGTTTCATAAAATTAATTTTTTAATGCTTAACTTTGAATTTATTTATATATATATATATTTTTTTTTTTTGGTGATGGGAAGTGTGGAAAAATTATTTTGCCCCGGGGCGCGTTTATATTAAATGCGCCACTGGTTAGTGCGAATAATATGTGATAATATCTTACGAGTAGAGAATAGACTTATACGTATAAAAGATCCTCAAAATATGTTCCTAAAAATTCAGTAGTATAATACAAAATATGAATTAATTTTTAAATATGCACTTAAATTTAAATCGAAAATATTTTGTTATAAAATAATATAAAATGTTTACAAATATTGCAATACATAATTGAACCATGAACCATCGGTTTTAAAAATATTTTTATGCTCGTTTACGTATGTCTGTAAACTACTCCTAATTAGTATTTTTATTTTAAGCATTTTAAAATTACGAATGAATAATAACAAAAATCACTAGACACAAAAACTGGAATAGTTTTACACGTAAAAATAATACGCACGAACGCATGACACTGACTGGTTGGTTTCCGTAACTCCGTTAGGTTCAAGTTATTATATGAATTAATATAATTTATATATATGTTGCATATGAGTATGTCATTTTATTTTTGGCGATAACGACTGATTTCTAATTTATCTATATTATGTGGTTGTGAACATGAAAATACAAGATAAAACAAATGTATGTGCTATAAATAAAAATATACACTACATAACTATAAATACACATGTTTGAAAGGCAAAAACGTTGAAATAAGCAAAATATGAAAGTTAAAATCATTGTTATTTTAATAAAAATTATCTAAATCGAGGACGACTCTCATCAGTTTTCAAAAAACTTAATCCAATACACATATAAATTTGCATATTATGCCGTTCCCTACTTATGAGTTAACACATAGTAGGTATTACTATGGTACATCGAAATACGAAAGAAGGTTCGGTTCGATAGTCTTAAGATAAGCGCTTGGTGGTGTACACGTTGACGATGTATCGTGAATGGATGAGATTTTATTCAACGGCATTAAAAACACTATCGCTATTGAAATATATTTGTGTACGGATCGTATATCATTAAAATGTACATCATAATAATATGGACTAAGAGAGGGGAAAGATCTCGATGACCCCTTCCTATCAACCCTTAAATACAGTCATGTATGTTGCGTGTGTGTGTGAAATATTACGAAACGAGGTTACAGACAGACTTATCGTTATCGGCAACGAATGAACCGACTGTTGGAAAATCCCAGGCAGAGAGTAACTCATAACTGTGATGTTTTCTACGTTTTCCATTTTTTACGGTTATTTTTGGACTTTTTCTTTTTAACCATTATCATCATCGCCCGCCTTTGCGTCACGATGCGACACGACGTCTCGCGGCACGTCCGATGACCGCTGCTTCGGTTTAGCACTCCAAACGACATGCATTCATTTCAACTTCGCTCGCGACCGCCACACGACTTGTGGGCACCTCTACTCGATGCGCGTTCGAACACCATACCGTCCGTGGAACCGCACACCGTGCACATGCGATTTTCTTCGAAAACCGTGATCGCAGTGCAACAATAATAGTTCGTCCGCCATCGCGGTTTCGCGCGTACGGTGCCGCCAACGGTCCGGGTCGTTTACCCGTTTACAAACCGTGTCCGCGCGTTCGGCACAAACTGTCCGACGTAATGTAATTCCGTCGCACCGGCGACAACCCGATTCGGCTTCCGGGTAATGTGTCAAGCCCCGTGTACCGCGCACTGACAAATATTCGCCGCCCACTCATCGCACCATGGACCATTACTATTCGTCGGCAAATTTAACGCCCGGCGACGGTAACTTCGACGGCCGTCATTCGAACGGCGAACGGCGTCCGACCGCAGCTGATGTGAACCAGGTATACACGGAATATTCGATACATTTTCGTTCAGGCCCAACCCGACCTGATGGAGGTGATTTTGGGGGTTCAATCCACCCCTCCCATCCCTCCCCGGAAACGTGCGAATCGAGATACGAAATACTTTTTATGTTGTACGTATTACGTATAAAATATTATGTTCACAACACACAACATATTTATTAATATCTAATTACCCTTCATCCCCGCAAGAAAAAAACAATTCTGAATTCATGCCCGTGATTTGAATAATTTACGGCACAGCTGTGTAATAGGTACAAATATGTATACGTTTGTGGAATATAATAAAACTATTATTGTTTCTCGTTTCATTGTACGTCGGACGTCGGTCCTTGCAACAGTAATCTTTCAAATATACGTTTTACCTATCCAATTTGAGACCGTGCGCATAGGGTATAGTATCGTCTCTCATTTCGCTCGTCACGGCGGCACAAACGTGAAATTTTACGTAAAAACAACCGCCATATTATAAATATTCCGCGGGCAAATAAATAAACTGATGCGATGGCGTTCGGTAAAACCATTCTAAGGGCATCTCGTGATTCTAGCAGTGTCTTAGTTTAATTATGAAAAATGGTAGCCGACGTATCATACACAAACGTCAACGTACGACTAAGGTCTATATAATTTCTTCCAAGTACGGTGACGCCTCGCACGTGTATCACTTCATCGATTGAATTTCGTTTTAAATAATATGTTTACACTTTTTGTCGAAGGTTTGTTTAGGTGTTACTTTTTATGCGACATTGTTTTCAAGTATATGGTATTAAAATATGTTATTAAAAAATAACAGTATACGATAAACAGAAGTTTGTGTTCAATTTTAATAATAAACAATCTTAAAGAGAAAAACAAATATATTTTATATTTTTATCACATTTTACTTTTAATTATGATAGAAAATAATGGATGAGTGCAAATAATAGATATTTATTTCGTGGTTTCAGCAGTGATGCCAACTCAAAATCGACATTTTTTGAGTTATGCCGTTTGTATTCTAGGGGTGCGAAATTTTTTACTTTATTTAATTTTTTTTAATAATTTAGTTTTGTACATTATTTTAGTTATTATAATAATATATTATTATGTGTTGACGTTTTGCTGTATAATTATTTTATTTGAAACTTGATTTATTGTGATGTTTTTACTATTTTATATTATATACATAAGCTTAAAATTATTTATAAGTTTCAAATTGGATAAGATTAAATATAATTAAACAATTTTCCTTTAATATAGTCCCATTTATAAACACTTTGTAAGTTTTTATGTTTCATACGACAATATTTTTTGGATTTTTAATTTGTTACTATTTTGCTGCAAGCTTTGCGTTTGTAGTGGGACTTTTTTTTGTATTTTATTTTCATATGTAAAGTAAAAATTAATAACTAATACACTGTTATAAAGGAAAAATGCCAATATACTCTAAATGTTGTTTCGTTCTGGCTTAACAGTGAATATCTAGGTTTTAGTGACTGAGATTGTAAATTACTTTCTGAGGACAAGAAATAAAAGGGGTTTGTCAAGGATCTTATGGAGATAACTGTAAAGCACTAAAGATATAGTGATGAGTTGTTTCGGCTTAGATTAATATCCGGGCCTTTAGATAAAAATTTCAAATATTATCAATATATAATTATGTTATTAATAAAATATATTATGTTTTTGAATTAGAATACAAAATGTATTTACTACTGGTAAATTAATTTTTATATTACATCAACAATTTTTTTCATTACACATAAACTATAACACTTATCGATTTAAATTTAAATAAATAGTATTATTTACTCTGGAAACCAGTTAAATTCGACACGAGTATCTCAGAAAAAAATCTTTACTTCCAAAATTGGTTAAAAAAAATATTACTCCCCCCAGTGAAAATAAAAATGTATTAATTAAAATTAATTATTTTATATCTAAAAAAAAAACTGGAGTTTTATGAATAAATCAAGTAGCTAGGAAATGAATGTCCTTGTTTGTTTAAATATTTTACTAATTACAAAACTACATATAATAAATACAAACTATGTCTAATAAATCACATACCATGTGTATACATCATACATGTATGATCGAATATTGAAAAGTAATAAAATAGAAATTTTTAATTTGTATAAAATAGAATACCAAATTATTCTGGAATTTCGTGGTTGCAGTACGTCAACGGAAGTATTCTTACGAGTAAACAAAATAACTGTGAAATACCTCATTATAGCGTGGGATTTATGAAAATTGCGAGTAAACATATATATATATATATTTTATAATAGATAGGTATTTCGTTATATATGTATTAAAACATTTTATTCAAATTTTTATTGATACATTTTTGTTCAAAATATTTTATCAACATATTCAAATGTTTTATATACAAACACATACAACTATTACTGTATTTTAATATTATTTTATATTCATGATTTTGTTTTTATTTTTCGATGTTTGTGTTGTTATTATCATAAATACTATTATACTACTTATACATATCAGGTTATATAATATTTTGTTGTTGCTGAGGTACCAACAATATTTCTCATATGATACTTAAAAACGCTATGTTTAAGTTTTATTTTTTATTCAGATTAATGATGAATGAATTATTTAGTTTAGGTGTATTGATCAAAATAATCAAAACTCATCAACGTGGCAATTATCATTAATTGACGATCAAGATGAAGTATCCGAAAATGCATTGATGATGCATGATGAACCAATAAAAGTCGCTGAAAAATTTGGTCCTATCATTTTGAAAATACCATCGTATATAAGAAAAGAAGCAGATGAATTATTCAATAATTCAGAATTCAATCCAAACGAGACATTTGATATGATAGATTTCAGAAGCTCGTGGCTCTTACTATTTAGTTATCAACAATACCTCAAGTTTATTCCTCTAAAAGTGAGTACAATTTTTACTTAGTTTTGTCATAACATAATTATTATTTTACAGTATACAAATATATGTATTAAAGATATATTAAGTATATTAATGTATATTATCAAGTAATCATTTCAAATAATTGTTCATTTATTTTATAATATTTTATATTTATTTAGAAAATAAAATTGATTAGTATACTATAATTGTATATATAGTATAATACTAGTCTATCATCGAAATCAACTGCTAAAGATGAATTACCCATCGAAAACTTTTATCAAACTAAATTATTTTCAACGGGTCGACATGTATAGATTTAAAATATATAGTTTATTATTTATATATAAGTTTTTTTTTTTTTTTGATGTTATAATATAGGTACCTCATACGCGTAAATGATGGTCGATGATTTATTATGATGATATTTTGTTTAATTATACTAAAAAGTTTACCGACGGCTGCAACAATGCCGGATAGTGCTCTATAAAATATGCCCGATTTTAACTGAAAGGTATTAAAGTTCAGTTAGAAAAACAATAATAATATCATAAATATTATCTTTTCGTGTTTTATAATTATTCAAAGATGAAGTGGAATTTCAACTTAATGAGTAGCAGATAATCTTCGAGTAATCCATTGACAACTGTTAAAAACAAACTGTTTATTGTACATTTTAGGATAATGCAGTGATTCAAATTCCTTGAATTTTGATATCAGATTTTTAATTATAAACCAATTAGGCGAGTTTTTACAACCTAGAAATCCATGAAATTTCCGACCAGGTTTTGTATAACAATCATCTTTCTTGTAATGCATTTCAATTAGGGCTGCCAACTTTAAATTTGTGAAATGTAATGAAATGTAAATGAAATTACTTTTTTCATATGTACTATATTTTATACCATAGCTTAATAAACAATACAATCAATATAATATAATGATTATTAACAAAAAAATATTTTATTTTTTTATATCACATTTATCAAATTAGTTTATTGATAATCTCGACTTAGATAATTCAACGTACATTATATAATGTAAATGAATAGTAAATACATAAAAAAAAAACCAAAATTAAATTATTTTTTTAAATACTTAAAATAACTAAGTAACGAAAAAAAAATATACATAAGAATTAATAATATTATAAATAACATAAATAAAAAAAACTTAAATATACTTACCATCTCAATTACATCTTAAATATACATCATAGAACGGAATTAGATAATTTTAGAAATTTTATACGCATTAATTAAATAATAGTTACAATATTATTATAATTAAAATAGAAATTTCATTAGAAAAAATTAAGTATTTTTAAATAATATTTGAAGATATTATATTATGATTATAAAGATACATTTTATATGCATAATGAATTATGCAACAAATGAGAATCAACACTACAAAAAAATAATGAACATGACTTTTAAAAACAATACTTAACAAAAATCATTATTTAAACTAGTATTTATTTTGTTTTTTTTTGCCAACTTAATTAAATCTTCATTATTTTTAACATATTTGGAAAATTTAAGACTAGTATTTTTTATAATTGAAATAAATCAATGTTCAGGTCTTATGAGCTTATGAGAACTGTTAATTACCTATTCCTCTTATTTCTCCATTTAATATTCATTACAGAAATACTCTTTCAGTAAATGCATTACATGCGGGTAATGAGCAATACAAATTAAATGTATGAAACTATATTAAGCAATTCAATATCTTTCTGAAAAATAAATTGCTACTTTTCTGAAATATTTTTAACATTTCCCTAGTCTTTTAACTTCAGAAATTATTTAAAAAGTGATTGTGCTGTCTTTATTTCATCAAAAAGTTTGTCAAAATCAATTTTTTGTTGTTGAGGTATATAATGAACATCGATATTGTTCGTTGACGACTATTGCTAGTCGTGTAAACTAAACAGTTAAATTTAAAATATTCACACGATAACTAAAAATAATGATAAGACAACAATAACAATTTGTTAATAACTATAATAATAAATTGTTGAGCTGTAATAACTTTGTGTCGAAAGCTTAAAACAAAAACTATAATCATAGTTCTGTCTTCTATTAATTCTATCCACAATATAGAGAATGTGTAATATAAAAACCGTGGTCTTATATCTTAGTCCGTGCCGTGGTATATATAATTAGTGGTTAAGGATAAATTAATAAAATTAAAAATAAAAAATAGTATAATAATGAAATATAAATAGCCAATGGCAGATCCGGTTTTTTCCATCGTCAGTTCATAATAAACTGTTGTATAGGTGAACTCGATAATACATTGAATAATGAAAGTACCCTTACTTTTTTTTTTTTAACCGTCTTAAAAATGTTATTTGTGGTTCTACTTATCTTCTTCGTCCACTGCATCGTAATACTTTGTTGAATATTTGGAATAGGCGTATAGCTAGCATATTTTTACCGGTCTCAGTTTATGGGAAACATTTTTTATTTTTTAATTCGTTAAACGTGCCCGATTTAAATAATCGATTTTTCGTTGACAGTATGAAAAAAAATCGAGTTTAAATATTAAGAAAAAATTCTAGAGCATCATGGTGATCGAATTCACTAAAAATGCGTTTCGGTGTATCACGTTGATTTGAAACAAAATCAGTACAATGAATCTTTTAGTGCGCCACGGCAGCGTAACAAATGTATTTATAACATTTGTTTTAATAAGGAGCGGAAAATTATAAATTACTTACTAATTATTCCAATAACGAAATTTACAAATTTTAAGTTATATAATGTAGTTCTCTTAAGAAAAAAAATTAGAGTAAGATATTGACTTCTGTTTAAGAATTTTTAAATTTAAACACAAAAATGAATGATGTAATAAAAATTATTGTACAAAAAAAAAAAAAAAATGGAGTTCAAGGTTTTTTCTTTATACCGCCTATGTTTGGAACACCTTTTTAACACAGCTCAGGATTAATGCGATTTCTGTTCAAAGGTGTTGGAGAAGAGAGACAGTCACGTGCTGTACCCTTGGCTGCTGTGGAACAAGCCGACGAGCCCGCGGCATACTTTTTCGCCCAACAGAGCGGTCGCATCACTGGTCAACCCCGACCGCTCATTACTGCACTCTCCGTCGCTGTCGTCGATGTTGTCGTCTTCGCCCATAATGTCGCTGTACGCTCAAGTCGTGTTGGGCATATCGTCTGACCAAAATAGCAGCAGTGGCGATAACAATAACAACACTAGTAGAATTAGTAGCAGCGGTAACAATAACACGAGTAGCAGCAGCAGCAGCAGCAGCAGCAGCATCAGCGGTAACAACAAAAACAGCAGTAGCAGCGTTAACAACAATATCAGCAGTAATAGCGATAATAGCAATAACGACAACCGGTTGGGATATTGCTTCAGCGAGCAGATGAGTAGCTGTTCACTTCGCGGGCCAGCGGACGAGCCGAGTAACGCGCACTACCGCAAGCCGGACACGAAGCCGTCGCCACCGCAACGGTTCGCGGGTAACAATCGAGGCGGTGCACAACGACTGTTGCCCCCGTGGATCGCCCGGTCCCTGTCAGACTCCGACCATTCTATGCCGTCGTCGCCGTCGCTGTCGCCCCCACCGCCGACGCCGCCATTCGCCCGTGTCTACTACACAGTCAACGCCAGCAACACCACCGTCAACAAGCTGGTGGAGCACTATTGCACGTTTTGCTACAAGAACCAAGAGCCGCCCGAGGTGTACGGCAGCCATCTGGTGCGGGACGCCATGCGCACAACGTGTCCCAAGCTCAGGGCGCTCAGGTGCAGGCACTGCAACGGGACCGGCGACGGCGCGCACACCATCAAGTACTGCCCGTTCCTGTATACCAATTACAAATAGTGCTTTTGAGGAGGTGGAGGGTCGCAGGGCCGGCGACCAGGCCCGATGCTACCTGGCGTCCAAAGGGAGTATCGTTGCGGTCGCGTTTTGCGGTGATCGTAACGATATTGTAACACCATCATTCGCGTGAAATATACATTCCATGGATGTATTTTTCTTCTCTCCCTCTTACACACTCTCTTTCTCTCTCTCTCCCTCACCCTCTCTCACTCTCTCTCACTCCTTTTCTCTTTCTCTCTCTCTCTTTCCCCGTCTCTCTCTCTCTCTCTCTCTCTCTCTCTCTCTCTCTCTCTCTCTCTCTCTCTCTCTTTCCCTGTCTCTCTCTCGTTGTCTCGCGTTTCCTAATTCCGATTTCTTGTTCTAACCAACACGACGTTTGTTTATTTTCGAATTAATTATTTCCATTGCTATCACGTTGCTCACGAACTTACATTATTTTATTTTTATTTCCAACCCGTCGTTTGCATTCGCGTGTCAGTAATTATTGACACTCTCAACGGGCGATAAGATAAGTTTGATTTTATGCGTTTATAATGTCTGGCACCGATCGTTTTCCGTACACATGTATCGTGTGTGCGCGGGCGTGTGGGTGTGTGTATGTGTACACATCGTGACGCTCGACGATCGATCGTGCCACTGCGATCGTCCTGTATGTCATCCGATGCATAGGTGAAGTGTACTATAAATTATGATGTTGACTGGACGCGCTTCGATATTAACAATATGTTACTTTAGTTTTTATTCGAAACTCACGACTGTGACTGTTTCCACTTTCTTATCTTCCGTCGACCAACCGTTATTATTTGTCGGTAGTTAAGAGTATTTATAACGCGGTTACATGTACTTTTCAAGAAAATTTGTTGCATGCTAACGTTTCAAAAACGTATATTGTTATTATTATATATTATATATTTGTATTGTTAAAAATTAAATTTTATACCAATTTTAATGTGAAATGGGGTGCTTATAGGGTATTTTCAGTCAAAATTAAAATTTTATCATGGATATTGGTCATCCTGTATAATATTAATGTAATGGAAATATGACTAATTTTATTTTTAATTGGCTAGGATATTAGATGTTTTTGTTCAGATTTCGTGTAATACTTACATGTTTTTTTATTGATTTAACGTGTGACTTGAAAATAACACTATTTAATATGGTTAACAATAAATATTGATGGGTTGGAATATTTTTTCAGAATACACATTCCATTTTGTTCATTTTGAGTTATTAAAATAAGTTAATGTATTGTTTCAATCTATTATAAAATCAGTTAATGTGATATATTATGTTTTATTTTAATTTAAAATTTTTCCGGTCTCAACAGCTTTATACCATGTTTATTTTTAAAATAAATAATTAATTTTTGAGAATAGCGATTGATTTTTCTATTACCTATCATCTAAACATATTCATGGATGTAGTATGCATGGAGCTATACATACATCCTCAGAGAACATTTTTTGTAGCCATCTCACTCTGTTCACTTTTATTTAAAACATTTTACTCGAAATTATAGTTTTAAATGTATTTATAATTTACCCTGAAATTCTTGAAGGTTTCAAATATTAGCAGTGTAATGTTTATTGATAATTATTGTATTACCTATTTATTTTTATCAAAAACATGTTTATTTATATTTAACATCGTCATAATAATTTTTACTATGAATTATTAAGCATAATTCTAAAAGACTTGAAGATTAAATGATGGTCCTAAAAATTATGATAAATAAAGAAAACTTTGAAATATATGACATCGTACTCAATGTAGACAACAATTATTTTTTTTAATATTTATAAACTTGTACAAACTATACTGACTATACCAATATCATCTGTCACATGTAAATGCTCATTTTATGTAATGAAGCGATTAAAGAATTGGACTAGAAATACCACAACAAATGATAGGTTCACAAACTTTTCAACACTTCATACTGAAAGATATTTATCACATGCAATAGAATCGGAAATTTTATTCAATATTTTTGCAATGAAACATGGACGTCTAAGTTTGATTTAATAATTTAATTTTGATTGTTTTATCTTTTATGTATTGTAAAATAAAGTTAGCAGGTTAAGGAGTCAAATATAAATTATTTTTTTTCTAGAAAATGTTCTCTTTTCCTTTAATTCGAGGAACTTTTTTAATACATTTTTCTAATCTCAAATAGCCCTCACAGATAATTATACCGAACTACGCTCATGATCATACTTATTATTAACTATTACCTATGCTGTATATCAAGGCCGTAATTGGGGGGGTCCAGGGGTCCGCCCCCCCGAAATTTTAAAAAGTAAAAACATTTTAGCGATGAATATAGTTAATTAACTATAAATTGTTATAAAAAAATATGGTAGGCCCCCCCCCTCCCCCCCGAATTTTTTTTCCAGTTACGGCCTTGCTGTATACTAACCATATAGATGAAATAATTATATCGTGATAAATATTATCTGAATATTTTGTGGACAAATTGTATATAATAAACGTAAGTTGACCCAAATAATGTTACGAACAGGTCGATCGAAATGAATATTAAAATAAGATATTTACAGTTGATTTACATGATCTAGTTTCTACGGCACATGCAATCAAAATGTTGAGTGTATAGATGTAGTTTAGTGCGAAATAATATTTCAAGATTAACAGATAGTACAATTTTAAATGTGTAGAATGAAATATGATTTAAAATAAAACATCGCATGAGTGTAAGAATTAATATACATTATATTGTTATAATAATATACCATATACTTTATGATTGGTTACAATTGTGAATCGACATAGCTGAGATATTGCTTACGATCATTAGTTTATCGTTCAACTACTTGAACTTTAGTGGGTCTTAGTTGACTAGCATGTTCCGTCTACACGGCGTTCTCGCAGGCATTCTCGTAATTGTAATGCAGGGACGAGCGTAATCAATGCATTTTTTAACTAGTTAACTAGGCGATACAAATGTCGCCCAGTGATTATACTCTGGGCAAAATAATGCGAAACAAACGTATAATAATATAATCGTATTATGGTATTATACATTGACTATTTTGAGAAAAAACATTTTTTGTCGCTCAGTGAAAATTCCTTATAAAATGCACTGAGCGTAATAATAAAAAATGTGTGAGTACGCGTTTCAGAATGTATAAAAATCTCATTTGTCACACTACCATAATGTCAATGACGATCGAATTGTTAAGTTATTCATAACGTATCGCAGACAACGCGCGTTCGCAGGAAATTAATAAATAGTTTAAAACGACGGCGATCATCACGATTACAATAGTACCTATTAGTTATTATTAATAGTAATTATTATTTGTTACTAATAATAATAATTGGAATAAAAATAATAACAATCACATCATGATCGTTTCAACGATGGTCATAGACGAGTATGATGATGGTTAAACTGGCTTGTACTTATGCATACTTGGAGAAACACTAGATTATGAGTGTTTAATATTTTTTCTTTTCAAATTTAGTGACAAATCGAAAACAAATTAATTGAACTGTTAAAAATTAAAAAAAATATATAATTTGGTAATGAAATGTACTTAGTAGGACATTTCAGAATTGTTTTTCTTATTTTCTTTGTAAGATTCCTGAGTTATAATTTCAGCGAACAAAATGGTATGGACAAGAATCGTTCAAAACGATAACCAATTTGCGAAACAGCAAAAATGTGCCGGTAGGCACTTTCCTATGTGTTTTAAACGAAATAGAACCGACCATAAGGCCACGGAACGGTGCGCGTGCTATCACGGAAATTCGATAAAGTCCCCGAGTCTTGGCACAACGACGATGGCGATGATGATGATGGTACGACGAAACGTGCACGCCGTAGACGACGACGACGACGACGACGAGGGGCATTTGGAACGGCAACGGGGCGAGGTGTCCGCATTATTTTAACGCGGTATATACATGCCGTACCTCGCCGCCGGTTATCTGTGAATTCGTTCGACAGTAATGATTTATCTATTTGAGAGCTTGCACACGCGTGCTCATGTACACACAAGAGTAGTTTGCCAGGTGCTCGTGACAGGTAGGTTAGTGCCGCTTAACAATACAGCGGGATTATATTACACACGCCGCCGCCGCCGCGGTTTCAAGTGTTCAAACAAATATCACGCGCGCCCACGTCGCCGCCGAGCGCATCGTCGTCTCCATCGCGTGTTCCGCTCTTTTGTTGCCTTTTCCCCCCTGCGCCACTCGCTGCCGAGCGCCCGGCCACACGGTTCGCCAACACGTCGCACCGACCGACGCCGTCACAACCACTCGCGCCGACCGCCGTGACGATGACCCGCGGGCCGTTGTTCGCCGTCGGTCCGAAACCGCCGCCGCCTCCGTTACCGTTGCTCGTGATATTGCTGGTGGTCGCGGTGCTCGGGACACGCGGCGGCTCGTGTTACGCGTCCGCAGCCGACCGGCCGCAGCCACCGGTGGAGATCCGCGCAGCCGTCATACTGCCCGCCGACGCCAAGTTCATCATCACGCTGTCCAAGGTGATGCCCGTGCTGGACATCGCGGTCCGCGACCTGTACGCCAAGGGTATACTGCGCGAGGCGGACGTCACGTTCAAGTTCATGCAGAAGGACGACAAGTGCGAGGACATAGAGGCCATGCGCTCCGGGTTCGACCTGATCCTCAACGGTCGCGTCGACCTGTTCTTGGGGCCCACGTGCGACTATGGCGTCGGTCAGTATCGTATAGATAGCTCATAAAACGCGTGTGTACGCACCACCGAGAATGCTGGCTGAATTTTCGAGCCTGCCAAAAATAAAAAAAATAAAAATTACAGCCATTAAAATAAAAACATAAGAGAAAACGTTAGAGAAAAAAAAATAACTGTTCGGATATAGATCGAGGTCGGAAGCTGTCGGTTCTTGACGTGCCCGTTTTGAGATGAAATATCATACGTCGCTTATCGAATTGTTCGGCCTCGAAATCGCTTTAAAAGATACAAAGTGGTCGACGTTCCGTTATACTAAACGTCTTGGTGAGACAGTCCCGTAGTCTATAAAAATTGATTTCACCTGAAAAATTACCTGTCGACAAACAATCTAACAGCAAATTATGAGAAATTAAATATTTTCAGTGCCAGAAAAGATCAAGTGCCTACAGATATAACGTAGTGAATCTTAAATAAATATGCACCTGTAAGTACATTCAGTGTTTATATCAGAACTTCTATACCGGGGGGGGGGGGGGGTTTCTT